CAATAACTCGACTCCAGCGCAACCTTGCGGATCTTTTTTGCAATACTATTGCCACTACTCTTACCCCTATATACCTCTATTATGAGGCAAATCGGTTCAAAAATACAATTTTTGGTCATAATTCGACTCCAGAGAGACTGTCTAGCAATTTTTTTCTCCGCAATATTTCCCTTCACGTTACCGATACATGGCTTGAATATTAGCTAGACTCCAGCGCCCCTTTAAGTTGTGAACCTCGTTTGGGAGGAGATCACTCACAAACACACGTACCCAAGAATTATATATGTATTTACAGATAGGTAAAAGTTTCAGTATGGGATTGATACCATATCAAGTTCCAGGACTCGACCACAAATACTTCCAGAGATATGTGGTATGGCAAATGCGATTGTATGGTAGATGCCACGCTCCCTTGATATAACGAAATTGTTATCAGCTTATACCCAAAAGGTGTTCACAATTTCAAAGAAATCGGTACAGCCGTTTGCGAGATGACCTCTTATAAAAATAGGGGACTTCTCTTTATATAATTGGTATAGATCAGAGGCGGGCATTCTTTGATTTTCCAAACACATGTAATTGGGCTTCAAAATGCTGCTTCGCTGGTATTTCGGCAAAGCAAATCAAATCAGTTGCTGTTGAGAGTGTTCGGACGAAAAGTTTTCTTAGTGGTAAATAAGCATGAAAAATTGTGGTACATTCCAAACCAATGTGGTAGATTCAAATAAATAAATTTATAAATATGTTATATGCACTTATGGTCAGCTGATTAAGTTAAGTGACATTTTGACCAATTTTTGGCAATTTATATTTTTTCTTTACTTAATGTTTATCTTTTTTTGCTGACGGTGCTAGGCATTTTCTTCCATATAAAAGAAATTGCCATTCATTAAAAATCAACGCGATTTCTTAGCGCTTGAAATTTGCATTTTAAGCTACTAAATTCTAATGGGCTATAAAACTGCATACCTAAAACTCTTCTAGAAATTCTAAATAAAAAGCCAAAGCGACAGAATAAGATGCTTTTTTTAGAAATGATCTATCATTTTCTGATAGAGAATCATTTTCTGATAGACATTGATAATTTTCGTGTTGATGTATATTACTTTCACCAACCATAAATTTAATAAAGAACGCTACATTTAATTCTAAAAGCTTCAGTGCTCGATTGCCCTCTTTCACCTTTTCAAAATGACTATGATACAATTTGTAATGTCTGATTTGATTGCTTTGCCGAAGTGCTAGCAAAGCATGAGTCAATCGTCAATTATCGTAAGACGCACGAAGACGATCACATCTAGGGACACGATATCGAACCGAAAGTATCGATATGGTACTAATTTAAAGTATCGCTTTAAAAATATCGGGTACCCATTAATATCGGAATAAAAAGACTCGATATTCCAAATATCGAAACCAAAATCCAAAAAATTTATCTGAATATAGGTTTCGCATATAGGCCGCTACACCCCAGGTTAGAAGTGCGCAACCCTTGAAAATGAAAAACAGCTTCCCATAAAATACAATCGCCGTTCAGAGTCGACATAAAACTGTAGGCACCCCCGTTGTGTTGACTTAAACATTAATTACCGTTTAAAAATGTTCGTATTTAAATCAAGTGAAAAGTCTTAACCAAATGGATTTTTCCATTATACATACACTACGTACATATAATGGAAATATTCAATTCAAATACTCCCGTACTAAAATGAAACATTTTTCACTACACGGATGGCGTTTTGCACGTCTCGGATGCTTTTTAATATGTAATTAAGAAGGTATACAGTGACGAGCAAAACTGTAACATGGTGTAACACTTTTTATTTCAGCCACCGCTATCTTTCCAACTTCTAACGACTTTCACACTTTTGTTGTATATTCTTATTGGTACACCCCTACTCCCTCTCTCATAAAGATTTGAAGTCAATCCAACAACAATAATTAAACCAGCATGCAAAAATGTAAATTAAGGCCAATGTTACAGTTTTGTACTCACTCTCAGTTTTGCATTTTACAGTTATCTTTTACTTAGTTGAAAGTCAGATGGCTGTTTTCTGTATTGTAATTTATTCATGAAGTGATTACCAGTAAATAATATGGTTAATCAGGAAATATAAATGTAAATAATAGATTTACTGCGGAACACGGGACCGTAGGAAAAGTGGCAAAAAATTATGGAGCTCGCCACATGAAAATGTTAAGACTGAGAAAAAATGTAGCCTAAAATGTTGTTAATAATAATAGTTTGGGGTTGTATTTCAAAAATATTGTTGGTCCGTTAGTACGCATTATGCGTAAAGAACAGTATCTGTTCATATTTCAACAAAATTTGCAAGATGTAGTCGAAAAATGAGCGACATTTTTTCAAAATTTTATTTTTGATGCAGAAATATTTCTAGGGCATCTAGATGTATTTCTGCATCAGAAAAATAAATTTGAAAAAAATGGCGCTTACGTTATTTTGGCGGTTAGGGCTCGATATGTTCGCAAAGACCGGATGCAAAAGCAAAAATTTGCTATTTTGAAATGACCTCCACAATTCGCGGACATGAATCTCATCGAGAATTCGTGAAATCAACTAAAAGCACAGCTTACTAAGTATCCAAGTCCGTCCAATGGAGTACATGAGCTGTGAAATCAAACCAAGGATATATGGAAGGATATACCTCCAGAACTTTTACAGAGATACAAATAAGGTATGCCAAATTGCATCCAGGAACTAAAAAAAGCAAAAGTATATTGAACATTGTGTTAACAATTCTTTTTTTTCGTGAAAATTGTCAAAAAGTTATTAAAAATATATAAGTGCAAAACTGTAACACATGCCTTAATTTACATGTTTGTCTGCTGGTTTTATTATTGTTGTTGGATTGACTTCAAATCTTTATGAGAGCGGGAGTAGGGGTGTACCAATAAGAATATACAACAAAAGTATGAATGTCGTTAGAACTTGGAAAGATAGCGGTGGCTGAAATAAAAAGTGTTACACCATGTTACAGTTTTGCTCGTCACTGTATGTATACAAAGCATGCACAACGGTGACAACACATACACACATACATGGTATGACATAATGCACTAATCGCGCGCTGTGATGTTGATTCAAACTCAACATTTGAAAACACCTTTACATGTATGGCTGTAGCTGAGTGTGCAAAGACGCTTGATAAAATTAGTTGCGGCCAAGAGGGTCCGGGTTCAATTCCCATCAGACGGAACATACAATTAATTTTTTCTCTTCTTAATTACGAAAAAGTATCTGTGCACTTCACAACCACATATATTATAAAGTATATACTCAAATTTAAAACGAGTTGGGTTGGTGCTCTTTCACATGCGTATTTTTTTCAATTTAGCACGTTTTTTTTAACTCTAAAATTTTTTTCCCTCAGTGTTGGAATGTAAGTTTATGACATTCGATACGATACTAGGGTTCTGGTACTCGATTCCAAAAAATATCGTTTTAAAACTATCGAGTAGAAAATATCGGTATCGAATGCCAAAAGTATCGATATGGTATCGTATCGTATCGAAATTCGTGTCCCTAGTTACATCATACATGTGTCGACGTCGCAGCAAGCGATGTTGTGTTTTGTTGTAGAAAATGCCCTTTCATTAATGCGCAAATGAACAAATTAAAAAAAAGAAGTTTCAAGATCTGAAAGTTTTTTAGCTTACGGTGGTAGTAGTAGAAATGTCAAGTGTTATCTATTCCACAAATGTGGTAAGTCCGAGCACTGGCTGTTAAGCAAAACTTCGCGCACAAGCGCATGTGTGTGATAGTGTGAGTGCCCACCTCTGGTATAGATACCCTGCAGCAAAATTTAGGGACAGTCTGGCAAAGCGTTAGTTCCGCCCTACAAATTTCAGAACTGTCTCTGAACTACTGCAAGAGGGATGCAGAGCTGGACGGTTCAAACGCATGTGCTGCTTGTTGCGTTGTCATCAATAGGTTTGTTTTTTACATTTTCGGGCTAGTTTCGGGCAAATGGGCATAAGTACGGAATGCTCTCACAAAAGTACATAAACCGTCCAAAATCGCGGGAACACAAAAACCCATTTTCGTGCGCGAAACTAAACGTCAAATCGCAAAAAATTACAAGTTTAAGATTTGAGCAGCAGCGAACACAATAACTTTAATTTAATAGTTGTTTTTTCAATTATGAATCAAAGAAAAACAGCTAAATAAATATGCACATATTTATTGGTTAAAATTTGAATGTTTTAAATTCTTCCTCTGGCAGTTTTCACAAACTCGCCCGGAAAAATAGTCCGACTTCGGGCTAGTGAGAGGCAAAAATTACTCTCTCAAAGTGGGTCTCAACAGCCCGAGAACCAACCAAAGAGACACAAATTGGGCACTTTCCCTTTTGCCTGGCACTGTGATACATATTGCAATTAACTGATGAATTAAGTTTAATATGATTTTTTAACACGTGGCAACTCTCATAAAGACAGTTCAGAAATAAATCCTTCTTAAATTCATTTCTATACTGTATATGACCACCCTTGAGGTACCATCTTTCCGATAAAAAAATAATTATCGAAATCGGTTCCCGGTTTCACTTTTTTCCAAAAACCTTCAGTTCCACTTTTCCGATCGCCAAAAGCTTTCCCCAAGATTAAAACCCTTCTAATTCCTTATTATACTGTTATATAATGTTTTGCAGCCCTATTATAAGCTTAAGAGTTATTTGCACATTTTTGGAGAAATCGATCGCAATTTCAAGTCCCATCGTGATTCTACTGTTAACTTCACCCTCAGGGAACAAAGGTTTTCTCTTTGTTTCCTTACTATATTACAGCTTAATAAACATCAAAGAACATAAACCCAAGTCCTTTTCAAATCCATTTGAAATTAGAAAAGTTATAGCAATTTTAGTAACGTATCGATATTACAGTGCAGTTGAATATTATTAAATGTGCAGCTGCACAAAATTATCGAAAATCGGCTTTCTCCAGCAACAGCTGTTTGCGCACATGTCTAGTAAAGCGTGCAGATAATTTAAAGCGAAAACAAGTGAAAAGTGATCAAACTTAATAATATTTTTAATAAAATGAGTAAGCGGCATATCAGAAGATTAATTAAAAGGCAGACCGATGTTTATATCGAAACGTTAAGTGAAAGTGAAGGTAGTGGGAATGTAACAAAATCTGTGGAAGAGCCAAGTGCGCGGTCAGCAATAGATGCGCAACCATTAGCTGAGGAGCTTGCAGAAGTAGGTGCAAATATATATAAAGAGAACAATTTGCGATCAAAATTAAAAGAGTGGTACATTAACAATAGACCATCGCGTAAGTGTTGCGATGATTTATTAAAAAGATTAAAAAGTGAAAATTTAGATGTGCCTCAAAGCGCTGAGGGCCTTCTTGCAAACTGCAGGCAACGTGCTTTAATTGAGATAGTTCCTTCCGGTCATTACTGTCACATAGGTGTCAAAAAACAGTTGGAAAAGTTGGCTAGAGCTAGATATATACGCGAGTCAATTCTTGTGGATGTAAATATTGACGGCTTACCCCTCTACAGAAGTTCGCGTACACAGATTTGGCCAATTTAGCTTAGGATTGTTAATTTAGAAAATACTCTTATTTTACCTGTAGGAATTTACTTGGGCGCTAAGAAGCCTGACTGTGTTGAAAGTTTTTTGTCTGCCTTTGTAGCCGAAATGGAAATTTTAATGGAAAATGGTGTGGATGTGTTGGGTAATATTATAAAAGTTGAAATCCGGTCTATCGTATGTGATGCGCCTGCTAAAGATTTTATATACGGCATACCAGGCCACACATCGGCGTTCGTTGCATAAAATGCACACAGAAAGGTAGAAAAGTGGACAATATATTAGTTTACGAGATAGAAAGTGGTGAACTAATTTCTGATGAGGATTTCGCAAACAGAATATATGAAAGCCGCATTTACCTAAATATAGAACCAGAAAAACACCACTAGAAACTCTGGGCATTAAAATGATAAGCCAAGTAGCTATTGACAGTATGCATCTGATAGACTTGGGTGATATGCGCAAATTTTTGATTCGCATTATGCAGGATAAAATAAATATAAAAGTTTCCAAAGAGAACAAGAGTCGTATTTCTAACAACTTAAAAGCCCTAAAACTGTACATTATGACAGAATTTGCTCGAAAGCCAAGAGGATTAGAAGAAATATACAATTGGAAAGCCACAGAGTTCCGCCAATTCCTGCTATACACAGGTCTATCTGTATTAAAAAATACAGTTTCAGATGACGCCTATTATGTGTACCTCCTATTGCATTGTGCTTGCAGGCTATTCTTTTGTCCCAAGAGCAACATTTCGAACACTGAGGTAGCGAAAAATTTTTAAACATTATTTGTACAAAATTTTCCTGTAGTTTTCGGAGACACGAGTGTGACATATAATATACATCACCTACTACACAAAATCGATAATATTAGAGCTATTGGTTTAGTATCTGGATCATCTGCTTACGAATTTGAGAATTATCTACAAGTTTTGAAAAAGTATGTGAAAAAGCCCACTCAAATTTTACAGCAGCTCTATAACAGAATTTTAAATGAAAGCTATGAGGCTGAAGATCATTCGAATGGCTTGAAACTTACGAAAAATGGGAAGTATGAGTATTTTTACAAAATTGCGTTTTTACAACGAAACCACCGAATAATATCTGCATTATAAAACCGTATGTTCCAATTGAAATTCACCAGTTCACACCTGAAAACGGAGGCTTAGTCAAAGGAAAAAAATTTTTAAATGCTGTAAGCTTTTTCAGTGAACCTTTGGATTCACTTTCTTTGGGAATTAGTATAGTTGACCTAAAACCATCAGATGAAGAACTAATATTCAGCGTTAATGATATAGAGGTTAAGTTGTTGGGTCTGCCACACGATGGCCGCTTACTCATGCTTCCAATCTTACATGGTTGTTGTTGAGTATTCAAGTATTTAACACCACTTTTCGCAGATTCGTTTTTTTAATAACAGAAATATATACAAAAGGATAAAATCGCAATGTCGTTTAAGAGGTTAAAAGTTCGTAGCGATCTGCTTCCGCAAGGTAAGTATTTTCAAAAATAAATGCATTTGAAACCCAATTAACATTTTTTTATTTATGTTATATTTACTACAGCTACCAATCCCACAAGTGAGTGCACCAGATGCGTTAATTTTCAAGAACAATTTAATGAAATTAAAGGTATGTATGTACTCAAAAAAAAAAAAAATGTATATATATACACTCCTCGTCATTTGACCCTTTTATTCCTTAGTATTTTCAGTTTTCCGTTTGTTTATTTATTATTCATTAATTTTTTATAAAAATATAGCAAAATTTTCAAAAATCAACGCTATTTACGACCACTTTAAACTGGCGCTTTTTATACCAGAATAGAATGGGCTACAAAACTGCATATCCGAATACATTTTTTTAATCAAGTTATTCACTGCAGGTCATTAGTTTAGCGCACCCCTTTGTTGACATTCTTGACATTTTTTAAATTTATATAAAATTTTTTAAATCGGATTTGCACGTAGAATATTGTTAAACAAACCCACAATATGACCAAAGTACAGTACAATTAACTCTATTGTACAACAAATACTTTTAAATACTTGTTTCGGCAATAACAACAGTTAACAATACTTGTTAAGACAACTACAATACTTTGCAAAACTCGCTAACACAATCGATCTCTGTTTTACAACTGAACTTTTTGGCGCGCTGTGGCAGCGGCCTTATATACTTGCACTCGAACTCATGGCAACTCTAGAACGTTGTGCCATCTATCGCACATTCTTTAATTCTCTCGCTGTTCGCTGTATTCCACTTTACATTTCTTGCTGTCGAATATTCTACGTCTTTCGTCGGACATTCTCTGATTTTCATGTTGTTCGCTTCGCGTTGCCGCAGTATTCGCCACAATATGCTATATTTTTATAAAAAAAAGTAAATATTGCATAAACAAACGGAAATACTAAGGACTAAAAGGGTCAAATAAGGTCAAATGACGAGGAGTGTACGTAGGTATTTTTATTTGCTTGCATATCTATTTACTTCAGTATTTATATATTTATATATCTATCATTTTGTATATTTATTGACTTCTTTATATTTCTGTTCAGAACGCGATGAAAACTTGAAATTATCTATGTTAGACAAGTTGGAGCAAATCGAAAGTAATATGCATACATACCTGTAGAGAAAAAAAAAATTACATTATTTTTCATTTTAGAAAACCACCTTTTACAAAGCAAAGCTGTTATGGCAGTTTTGGCAGAACATAAAATTTTAATCAGCAAGCTAATTCGCCAGGAATCTCTCGCTGCGCCCATTGGCGACCTCTTTCCAATTTGTACCGATGAAGCTTTAGCCGCCGTAGATGAAAAAATATTTCAGGACAACCGAGACATTTACGTAAGCATTGAATCTTACTAATGGTGTTTTCTTTTCTAGAGAAAATGGTGTCTTTTTACTGCCCTCTCCTAAGTATTTGTGCAAAATGTTTCGGTAGAAAAGAAAACATCATTAAATTTTAACTTGTCGATATGGAAGTCTTTAAATTAATTATATTTCACAGGTTTCCATGATGAGAAAACTCTTTCAGTATTCCGCCCATAAAAATTTCAGAAACATTCTCGCCGAATCGATGATAATACGATATAACATAGATGGTACACATGGAAAACAAAGCCTGAAGTCTTTTAAAAAATGTTATGCTGCGCTTTTAGGTATACAGACATACATACGTGCACACATATGTATCTACATGTGTATCTTGTGATGTTTCACAAACTAAACTTGACTCGGGTTTTTCTGAGTTATGCAATATAACTAAAAATAATTTATTTACTGCTGAAGTTAAAAAAACGTTGAAAGTGATTTGTCCAATGGCCTACAGATACACATGTGGTTATGTGAAAATAATATTTTGTAACTTTAAATTAACTAACGTTTGTATCTTTAATTAGATGCCATTTCGCAATTACCAGGTGTTACTAATCCAGAAGAGCAATTACGCCGTGCTTTCAGGGTTCAAAAAAAGCGCCACTTTAAAAATGCAGCAACACCAAATAATCAGTAATTAATTTCTGAACTGAATAATTAATATAACGCCTTATTCACACCTTGGACTGAATCCTTAATATAATTATAAGAAAAGAAAGTACAAACTTAAGTTATTTACTGAATTTTGGCATAAGAGCTTAACGTATATTTGCAAGTTTAAAATGTAAGCGTATATATAAAACCAAATTGGTTCGAAAGGAACGTACATATGTAGAGTTGCCCCAAAAATAATAGCGGTAAAATTCAAAATGATGCTGTGGCGACTTATCTTTATTTANCAAACAAACAAACAAACTTAACAAACAAACAAACTTAAGTTATTTACTGAATTTTGGCATAAGAGCTTAATGTATATTTGCAAGTTTAAAATGTAAGCGTATATATAAAACCAAATTGGTTCGAAAGGAACGTACATATGTAGAGTTGCCCCAAAAATAATAGCGGTAAAATTCAAAATGATGCTGTGGCGACTTATCTTTATTTATTTATTGTAAATAATTCTCATTTTTCATATGGGTCGATCTACATATATCAGATTAGTTTTTGTGAACTTTGTGCCAGCTATGCAACTTTTATTTATGTTTTATTTGATATATGTACAGATGCGTTCAACTAATTAGCAACGAAATTCAAAACGATATTGCTTGCAAATTATGTTATTTGTTTATTTTTAATAATTTTAATTGAAAATATAATTCAATATATAACAGAAACCATAATAACAAAAGTTGCAAAGCTTGCACAAATTGCAAAAAAAAATAATCAAACTTCAAAAAATTGTCATCAAAATTTCAAAATTTTTAATTAGAATATTTAGAAAATTTTCTGGTATGCAGTTTTGTAGCCCATTCAATTTTAGTGCACTAATAATATAATATAATTAATATATAATGCACTTTATTATACTAAAATTGAATGGGCTACAAAACTGCACACTCGAAAATTTACTAATTACTTTAATTAAAAATTNCACTCGAAAATTTAGTAATTACTTTAATTAAAAATTTTGATTGCAATTTTTTGAAGTTTGATTAATTTTTTTGCAATTTGTGCAAGCTTTGCAACTTTTGTTATTGTGGTTTCTGTTATAGATTGAATTATATTTTCAATTAAAATTATTAAAAATAAACAAATAACATAATTTGCAAGCAATATCGTTTTGAATTTCGTTGCTAATTAGTTGAACGCATCTGTACATATATCAAATAAAACATAAATAAAAGTTGCA